AAAAAAAAAAAAAAAAAAAAAAAAGGAAAAAAAGAAATACAGTCTTTCTAATTTGTCCTGGTGAGACTTGAACTTTCTACCCTACTGGTTCAGTCTCATGGAGCTGGGATTACAGACAAGTGCCACTTAAAATATGTAAATCCAGACCCCAGAGTAAAGGCGTTTGCCTGTCTTGTATTGCTCATTACGTATCTTTCAATGGTTTTTCCATTCCATAAAATTTGGCACTTTTACCTGTTGATGTTGTCTAATCTATATTCTCACGTATTTTTGTCTGTGTACACAGAAATTGTAAAAGGAAGTTAGATTTTTATATTGGGAATTGGTGAGGGCTGAGACAGGGTTTCTCTGTGTATCCCTGGCTGTCCTAGAACTCACTCTGTAGACCAGGCTGGCCTTAACTTGACTGCCTCTGCCTCCCAAGTGCTGGGATTAAAGGCATGCGCCACCAGTGCCTGGCAATTTTTATTCTTCTTGAAGTCACAGTTTATATTTCTTATAATTTATTTGTGTAAATATTCAATGTTACAAAGATAGCACATTTTAATCCAAATAAATTAGAAATTTCGGAAAAATGTATTGAGTATGGCATTATACAAGGAATCTTTGTGTATATAAGAGAGTATGTGCATGTGAGTATGTGTCGGTGTGAGTCTGTGTGAGAGAGTATGTGTGAGTGTGTGTATGTGTGTGTGTGTGTATGTGTGCATATCAGTCAGGGTTCTCTAAAATAAAAGAACTTAGAAAATGAATATATATGATATATATATATGATATGTATATCATATATATATATGTATGTTAGAATGACTTAGAAGCTGTCTTCCAGCTAGTCCTACCATGACTGCCTATGAACAGAAGGGCCAAGAACCCAGTAGTTGCTTAGCCTAGAGATTGGAGGTCTCAGCTGTTCTTCCTTTTAGCTGGAATCCTGAAGTGGATCAGTGAAGAGATAGACTTGCTAGAGAAGATGAGAAAGTACAGGCAGAGTGACGAGTTTCCTTCCTCCACGTCCTTATCTGGACTTCCAAGTGTGGCCCAGGCTAGAGGAGAGTCTACCTACCTTAAAGATCTGGACCGGAAGTGGAGCTTCCATTGTCAAATGATTTACTTAAGCAAAAACTCCCTCAGTGGGGTGTCCAGTCATTTCAGAGTTTCAGTTAATTCCAAATATTCTCAATTTGACAGCCAAGAATAGTCATCACAAACCAGGCTTGGTGGTGCATGCCTTTAATCTCAGCACATGAGAGGCAAGCAGGTGAATGTCTAATTCAAGGCCAGCCTAGTCTACAGATCAAGTTCCAGGATAACCAGAGCTACACAGAGAAAAGTTGTCATGAAACCATTCCCTTTCACACATACTGCAAAAAAAAAAAAAAAAGAAGAGCCATCACTGTGTGTGGCTGATGAGAGGAGTGTCATGGTACATGCCACAGTGCCTGCAGTGCCTGTGTGGTGATCAGAGGACAATTTTTCAGTCAGTTCTGACCTTCTACTTTTATGTGGGTTCTTTATATCAAACCTGAGTTGCCAGGCTAGCTCCAACAGTTTGCATATCTTGCAATATGTAAAATATTGTATTAAATATTCAGGTTTGTTTACTATACAAGTAACTGTCACTCAAAAAATCAGAAATTTCAGAAAAAAAATAGATATCAGATAAAACAAGAAATCTTTATTAAAGGGGTTCGGTTTTATCAGCACTCCCCTGCACCACCCTCCCGTACCAGGGAGCAGCTCTGATAAACAGCAGCCACTGTGATCCCTAATGGCTGAAGGAAGTCCCACCTTGGCTAAGCCCTGGTTCCTCTGACTTTGACTTTTCTGTTGCAGCTGTCTCTACTTACGGGGTACACCAGTACCATGGGGACAGCTAGCCTGGTCATCTCTGTAAGAACTATAAGCACTGATCTACCAATGGATGTTCCCTTCCTGGTTACGTGGACACACTCAAGGAGCCTACAGTATCTCAGAGCATACTGACATTGCGGCATTTTCCAATGTAAAAATATCTCCCCAGAATAATCCGCTTCTTATCCCGTTAGCCTTGGAAGCAAATTCTCTTCCAACATGCTTTCAAATAGTAAGGACAACCGGGGCCTTTCAGCTCATTGCTTCAGAGTTGAAGGCCATGGGTCAGCCATTCCCTCACCTGCAGTCCTGAATCCCCAAAGTCTGTGGAGCCCACAGGGTAAGAGGTGTGTGCAGAAGAGGAAGCAGCAATCACTGAGCCCCCTGACTGTTCTCCTTGCTTCTGTTGCAGGCGAGGGCTTCCACAACTACCATCACGCCTTCCCCTACGACTACTCTGCCAGTGAGTACCGCTGGCACATCAACTTCACCACGTTCTTCATCGACTGCATGGCTGCCCTCGGCCTGGCTTACGACCGGAAGAGAGTTTCTAAGGCCGCTGTCTTAGCCAGGATTAAAAGAACTGGAGACAGGAGCCACAAAAGTAGCTGAGTGTGGTGTCATTCTATTTCAAAAGTCAGCTGCTTTTTAAATGCTGAAAAGAAGCAGCCATGTTGTAGAGAGTCCCATTTTAAGATAGTCTTGTGAAATATTCAAATATTCAAAGGCTAAAATATTCTTTTATGATGCTAAGCAGAAATTCTTCTGTTCTTTGTCTTGTGTTCCAGAGACCTTTTTATTGCTTAATCCTACTTATTACTTTCCTGCTTTTCCAGGAGAGCTGCAGGTGAGAAATAGGTTGGAATAGACCTTTGAAAACGCAGCAAAGGTTTTAAATTAAAGGACCCCACCGATAGCGCTCTTTCCTTGATCTCTCTTGAGCCTCAAGGTAGGTGTCTAGAGCTAAAACTCCAACCAGATCTGTTCTCTGTTAACTTCCATCAGGCCACAGAAAAAGCGAAAACACACACACATATACACACACCCCACCACAAAGGCAACAAAAAATCCTAACCTTTCCTTGGCACTGAGCTTGCATTGCATTAAAACACCAGGGAGGAGAGCTACCATGCCAGGGAGGTTCCTTAAGCAGGGATGGGGTTACATGGAGAAGTTATAAAAATGTTCTTGCTGTGATCAGACCCAGATGCTTCCCAAGCAGACATGGAGCCCACCACACAGCATCCTTCCTTTTGGTCTTGAGCCCCAGAGCTTGGCAATGAAACTCATCCTGTTTCAAGACAGAGATGGAGAGGTTGAGGGATAGTGTTGGTAAGCAGATTCTGAGAGATAACTTTCTCACGAAAAGCCATTTGGGTTGAAGATTTCCTGAGTAGAAACTCGATGTCCTTCTGAGTTTCAAAGCTGGGTCCCTTTCTTGGTCCAGCTTGCTCCTGGGGTTGATAAAATCCAGGGATTCCTGCACCAGTGTCTTACTTATCACCTCGTACCTTCCTATAATATTCTTGATTATCCTAGGTCAGTGAATCTTTGTTGCATATTGTTAGCATGCAGCTTAGAACAGACAACACCAGACGAAATGGTTTGGGGGAGGGGAGTTATTCAAGAGATAGGGCAAAGGTGGGGGAAGAGAAACAGAAGATGGCGGAGAAAGAGGAGAAGTAGAGGCCGGCCATGACCACGTAGAGAGAGGGGGAAGGGAAAGGGGGAAGGGCAAGGGGACAGAGAGAAGCTAGAGGCAAGAGAGTGAGAGTAAAAGAGAGAGGGGGCAAGCAGCCCCTTTTATCGTGGGCACGCCTACCTGGCTGTTGCCAGGTAACTGTGGGGGGGAGCGTACCTAGGTGTTGCCAGATAACTGTGGAGGTGGAGTTTAGACAGAATATTAACATATAATTGGTTTAATGAAACAGCTGGAAGATGTAACGCAGGCTGCTTTGGGAAGAGGTTTCATCAACAGTCTTCTTCAGTTGTGGACGCTGTATTCCACAAACTGACTGGTCAGGCAATGTGCCCACCAGTACAATAGAAGCAAGTCTGGTAGGTGGATAACCCACTGGCGCATGAGTAGACATGAGACCCACTTCCTAGAATGGAATTCACCATCAGACGGTCTGTGTCTGGGGGAGAGTGAGATGGCTCATCAGGGAAAGGGGCTTGCAGCAAAAGCCTGAGGACCTAAGGTCAATCCCAAGACCATGTAAAAAGCTGAATGTGGTAGTGCATTTCCGTAATTCCAATGCACCCATGGAGAGATGGGAGGTTTCCATAATTCCAGAGCACCCATGGAGAGATGGGAGGTTTCCGTAATTCCAGAGCACCCATGGAGAGATGGGAGGCACAGAGAGGAGAACCGACTAGAAGCTTGCTGGCCAGCCAGCTGGGAGCAGCTGGGCAAAAGAAACCCTGCCTCAAAAGCAAGGTAAAAGAACCAACTCCTAAAAGTTGTCCTGTGACCTGCACGTTTACCCCACATGTATATAGGTGCCGCATATAGACAACACACACACACACACACGCACACACACAATGCTACTAATTTTTAAAAACCCTACAACTGTGGAGTTCCTAGGCTTTAGTGGGGAAGCTATTATTGTTTCCTATATGTAATGTATCCATCGAATTGCTTTCTGAACAACTATGGTTTTGCCCATAGATGTGTGTTGCAGGATATTTGATCACCCTGTGAACCCTGAAATTGTGCTATTTACTGGAAAAACCTATTTCTAGTTGTGGTGTGTGTCCTTTCCCCAGTCTTGAGAAGGCCCAAAAGACCTTGTTTACCACAACAGATCAAGGGATAGGATCTAGGTGGAGTTACCCATCTTGGCTGCACGTTATTTAGAAGAACTGCCTTGAGATATCGACCAAGAACGGATTCTCCCACCCATCTCTGGTTGAAGCAAGGAAGGGTTGGGGTGGGGCCTTCCCCTTTAAACTGAGAGCTGAACATTAAAGCTTCGAGCCTTGATCAGAGAACTTTGTCTTGGCATCATTTCCTCTCGCCCTCTGTCCCATTTCTTTATTTCCAGCCCCCTTTCAGGAGAACCCAGTTAATCTGTGGCCATGGCCGCAGACGGCTACAGTGGTGTGTGGCTCAGCCCTAGCACCCACCTTTAGTCAAAAGAGGTTTCCATAAACAGGTTTAAATAAAGTCAACCATAAGTCAAGAGGTGGAGCAAGCAACCAGTTGACCGGGACACACAGGAAGTAGAAGGGGGAGACTTTCAGTTTGTGGCAGTTTTGAGATGGTGTGGAGAAGAGCTTGCTCTTTTAGGATGTTGGCTATGGAGGAAGGTCAGCTGGGTGCTTCCTCTGCTTTTCTGAGGTAGCAGGCTTTCAACCCAACATCTGGCTCCTGAGTCTTTATTGGTAAAATCGAATGTTTGAAATTTTGCTACAAGGGACACTACGCGCAGCCTTGGCTGTTGGCTCTTTTACAATAGTCAGCAGTAAACTCAGAGCCTCACAGTCCACCTGACACTGAAAATGTGTTACTGTGAAGGTCGCAGCCCTGAATGTGACATGAAAAACGTCACTGTGAGTATTAGTCCAATTTTGTGACCTATATTAACTTTCTATGATGCAGGCAAAGACTTATTCTGCTCAGTGAATCTGGAGCAAGGGACTCAGGTAATAATCACAAGGTACAAGAAATGGAGAGTGTGCCTTGGAGATGCGGGGGACAAAAAGAAGGTCCTCCTGGGGACACTCTGCTTGTCCCACCCCACTCCCCTCCCTGGCCTTCTCTATCTGTTATAAAGGAGCAGGTGGGCTGTGCTGACTCCAGGTAGATCTGGGCGCACGTGAGGACCTGCTCAAAACACCCAATGAGGATCTCATTCTGGGTCATTTCTCATAGGAAGCAGTAATATTTCTGGTCAGAAAAAAAGGAAAGTGATTTCTTTAAAAATGCCAGCAGAGGGCGCAAGAACGCTTGTAGGTCTTAGGAATTCTTAAGAGAATTCTAGATGACCTAAAAGACACCCCCCAGCCACTTTTCTCTTGGTATAGCCATTTTAAATGATGTGGATTTTCACAAACCAAAATCAGCTATTTTAATGTGGACAATGACACAGATCAGCCCCACACAATCCTGGTGTGCTTGAGTTTGCCAACAATCTGCTGGTCTGGATTCACCCTTTGGGTGCAGTCAGTGCCCTGCCAATACCCAGGACATCACAGGCCCTACTGAGATCCTAGGAATTTTATCCTGTCGAGTTTCTTTCTCCATCCCCATTAAGACACTGGTACACGCTATGATAACTGTAAATCACTTTTCTTCTAAAGTAAAAAATGGTAAAAATGGAAAGTGAACAATTCTACGATATTAGTACACTCACAATGTTGCAGAGCTGACACACCTACTTTCAAAACATGCCCTCGCTCCAAAGAGACACTACAGCACCTAAACACTGACCCCTCTCCTCAGTCACCTTCCAAGACTACTCCCCAACCCTAGCAACCGCCAGTTCCTCTTTTTCTCTGGACTTACTGCATGCTTCACAGGAACAGAATCCTACAGTCTGTGAGCTCCACATCTGACTCTCTCCTTGAAGCATGCTTTCTACATCTGTTGACGGTGCAGCACCAATCAGTACCGGAATCCTTTCATTTTTTTTTCTTATTAGCACCCCATTGTGTGTGAACAACGCTCTTTATCCACTTCTTCAGTGTTACCACACTAGCTAGCTAGCTGGCCCGAGAGCGTTCATCTGCCTCTCCCTCCTACCTCGTGATAGGAGCCCCTGATAAGAGCTGACACATCTGGATTTTCTTGGGTTCTGGAGATTTGGAACCAGGTCCTCAAACCTGTCCCCCAAGGACTTTATCCACTCAGCCAGCTCCCCAGCTCAGCCTCCTTATCCCGGGAAGCAATCCCCTTCCTCCAGTTAACCCTGCTCACTGCTACATTTGCCTATGTTTGTCTTTGCCCATTCTACTGATTTTACGATGTACAGCCATGGTGGGAAGGAATGGAGATCCCCATAGTTTTGGTCAAACTGTAAACAGGTCCATTTTCCTTTTTCAAAGTCTATTTCCTAATTCCTTGGAGATACAGGTATATCTGTTTTTTTTCTCCCAACTATTAACAAAATACCTGACAAGACAAGGAAGGAGGCTTTCCTTTTGGCTTGCTAGGAAAGGTATGGCAGGGAGGTGCTCCTGCTCTGTTAGCAGGAGCATAAGGTGATACTTTGTCTGAAGACAGGAAGTGCCAGTGTCCAGCTGCCTGCGACCTCCTCTTGCCTTTTTAAAATTTCAATCCAGACACCTCCCACCAACGTGTGTCAAGATGCCACCCACATTCAGGGTGACTCTCGCCCTTCTCAGTTGGCCCATTCTGACAAACTTAAAAAGTATATCTCTCTGGTGATTCTCAATCCTGTCAAGCTAACAATTAAAATTAATCACAATGAGAAAACTGAGGTGGCAATTTTATGGCCCTGTGCACCAGGCGATATTGCTATCAGCACTTTGCACCATTACTGACTTGGGTGTGTAACAGGAGTGCAGTAGTGTGTGTGATCTTACGGCAATTCTTCAACCTTTCATGGGGACACCAACCTGTTTTCCACAGCGGCTGAACCACTTTCCATCCCCACCAGCAGTGTTTAAGCGCACCCTTGACGTTGCATCTTTGCAAAATTGTCCCAGGACGGGCCTCCAGACTCCAGGCTGGGAGAAGCTGCCTAGCCTTTTCCAATTTAAGGTTGTTTACAGAAGATCACTCCAGAGTCACTAAGGCACAACTGCCATATCTGCTCGAGGATCTATAAACTTTTTTCCTAGAGACTTCCACTCGGCCTCACAGAACCCCACTTACAAAGCTGGGGCCTGAGGCAGAAGGAAGCAGCTGTGCTCAAACACTTCGGTCTAGCTAGGCTTCCGTTGCTTGCTCAGTCGCACTCAGCCCCGCCTCCGCTCCCACGCCCAGTCTCTGCCCAGGCAGGCCAGGCGGGCGGGAGCACAGAGCTGGAGGAGACAAAGGGAGAGGCGTGGCGTCCCTCCCGGGGTTACTCTCGGTCAGCACCCGCCCACAGGGTCACTCGCGTTCACTCGGCCCACAGCGCCTGACCCCGCGCAGCCAATCA